CCGTGGGATCCTGACCTGAGCCGAAGGCAGCCGCCCAACCGACTGAGCCACCCAGGGGCCCCTAGAGTTCTTAGCTTTTTTAAGGAGACCTGTGACCCAGTCACAAAACCACAGTAAAATGGCACTCAGAATGGCTGAGCACTTCCTGTGCTCTAGGCACGTGACTCGATGCAATCCTTGCCCCAGCACCTCCAGCTCAGGGCTGTTGTTGGCCTTCTGGGACACGCAGAGTAAGGCTCCAAGGGAAGTGGCTTTCCCTGGGGCACGCAGCCAGCCTGCGGTGGAGCTGGGCTCTACAGGGCTCCAACAAGTGTGTGGGCCCGGGCGCCGCCGTTCTTAGCCAACCCCTAGGCTTGGCGCAGGAGACCCTCTCCAGACCCATGTGTTCATATGCTGTCTACACCGTGTGTGCAGATGATAAGGGCATGCTAATATTCACTTGCTGCCCTCCAACTCTCATCCCCTGGCGTTCAAGGACAACTGTGAGCACAGACTGCAGTATTTCTTTTTCTGCCAAAAATATAACTTGGCTGACATTAGCCATATATTGTTTAAGATCATTCTCTTTTGAGAAAAAGTAAAAAAGCTGCTTGCAAGGGCTCATTTTTGCTTGAAACAGAATACTTTTTAATAACCCTCACTTCTTTAACAAGAAGAAGGAGGAGGAGAAGAAGGAGGAGGAGGAGGAGAAGAAGGAGGAGGAGGAGAAGGAGGAGGAGGAGGAGGAGGGAAGGGAAGAGGGAGGAGGAGGAGGAGAAGAAGGAGAAGGAGAAGAAGAAAATCATAAAATGCTTTCTTCTCTCCTTCCTTCTTCGACTCGGGCCGCATCTGCCTTTCCTCCACATTGGAGTGGGGACTCTTGTTTCTGACCAGTGAGCTGGGAGTTGGTTACATCATTGGCTTGGGAACACCGGGAACAATGTGGCGGGGGAGACAGCATGCACATTCCCGGGCTGTATGGCCAGGTGAAGCCCGGTCCTGCTGCTCACCTTGCAGTCACCTCTGCTCGGGCGCTGGGCTGTGGAATTCCAGCTCTAGGACCTCCTTCTCCATTCCCAGAGTCAGCTCCTCACCTGGCCGCCTGTGCAAATCCTCACCAGCCCTTAGCCCTTACCCAGCACATCATAGACCCAGCCCGGACCCAAGGAATAAGTTGTTTCAGTGCTATAAAGAGAAATCTACCCCAGAGGCAAGGTCCAGACCGAAGGAAGCAGGAAGGGTCCACCACAGTGACAGGTCAGAGAAGCCCAAAAGTCCCTGTGGACTAGGGGAGTAAAGCAGCCTTGCCCAGACCCCTTGACATGACCGAAGTGACCAGATAGGCCCTTGGATGCTGGAGTCAGCCTGCCTGGGTTGGAATCCTAATTCAACAATTTCCTGTGTGTTCCTGGACAAGTTATTTAACCTTTCTGTAGTTTATTTTCCTTATCTATAAAATAGGAATAATAAATGTACCCATTTTATAAGGTTGTGATGAAGATTACCTGGATTTTAAGTGAGATCATGCTCAGTGCCTGGCACATCATAAGAACCAATAAATGTGAGCCAATACCATCCTTATCCCATCATTGTTACAGGTTGACTTGTGCCCCCTCCCAAAAGATGCTAAAGTCTGAATCCCTAGTACCTGTGAATGTGACCTTACTGGAAATAGGTCTTTGCAGATGATCAAATTAAGATGAGGTATTTAGGGTGAGCTCTAATCTGATATGACTGTGTCCTTATAAAAAGGGGAAATTTGGACAGAGAGGCATGCATTGATGGAAGACAGTGTGAAGACACAAGGAAACTGAGAGGAAAGCATGGAACTGATTTTCCCTCACAACCCTGCCAACACCTTGATCTTGGACTTGTGGCATTCAGAACCATAAGACAATAAATTTCTGTTATTTAAACTGCCCAGCTCTGGGTCCTAGGTAATTAACACAGTCATCACCATCACCCACAACGCCATCCACCCCTTGGGTGTGCCTTCTCATGCTCCCCAAAGGAGCAAAGCCTCCCTGGAGAAGAGAGAAACCTTCTCTCTTATTGAGGTCAAATTACTGGATCCCAAAGCTACAGTATGATCGGATTCAGTTCAGCAGCCAGGTGGTGGCTGGGCTCGGCCATTCTCGGTGCCAATTGGTTAACGGTTCAGGAAACAGAGCCCCGCTGTCCCACAGGCCATCCTTCCCCGCCTGTGCACCCCTCCTTCCACCCAGGACCCTAGCATCCGGCGGCGTCCAAGCTGCCACATTCTGCCTTTTCTCCACAATGCCCCACTCTGTGCCTTCCCCCAGAGAAACACATTGCATTTTATTTCTCGTCCTCCCATAACCTGGGATTGGCTTTCCTAACTGTCTGTGGTGTGTTTGTCCCCTCCTGCTGGTAGGTCATCGTGCTGTCCACGCGACTCCTGAAGCCACTTAACATTCCTGAGCTGTTATTTGCCACTGACCGGCTGCATCCAGACCTTGGCTTCTGAGCGGCTGCTAAGAGGAGACCTGCCCGAGGTGGAAACACCCATCCTGTTGCCTGCCACCATTCAAGATATGCCTCCAAACCCAGTGTCCTCTTGCTAATTGTGGGGAGGACAGAATTCTGCCCCAAAGGTCTTGAGAACCATGTAGCAAAGTGCTTTGCTTGGACTGCCGGCAAGTCTTTAAAAATAATAATAATAATAATAATTCATTTTTCTAAAGGTGTCTATCTTTCAGCTGGCTTCATTCGACATAATTCCCATTTCTCTGTTTGTGATCTTCCTGATTCCAACTGCAAGCTCCTGAATTCTACATAATCGCCTGTTGGCAAGTGTTGGTAGCTTACAAGCTATTTGATCTACAGTTGCTCAGGAAATTAGACATGCTTTAGAATTATGAGTGTGAAGAAAGTTTGATTTTCCTTAAGGTTATGTAACTGGGGAGGGTACCTTGCAAATTGGATCTGAGAGCTTGCTGAAAAGGCAAGGAACGGAGGGGTTAGCAGCTAGAGCCATGCTGGTAGCCCACGGGCCACGTAACTTGGCCTGTCATTACAAAGGGCGGCGTTGTCCCCGCGAGCCCACCAGGCAGGGTCCCCAGGCTACTTGCAACAGTAGTGGGAGAGAGGTTGATTGGAGGGCTGGCTCTGCCCATAAAAGCTTTCCTCCCCTCCCAAAGGAAGGCCCCCATAAAGGTTCCTGGTCCAGGGAGTCTAGATGGGAACCCCAACCCCTGGGACTTTTATGAGTTAGTGTTTCTATTGAAATAGAAAGCTCTTTTTTCAGTTTGTCTCACTTTTCCTTCTGGTCATGGCAGAAAAACCTAGACCCAACTAGGGAAATTATTTAAGAACTCTGGCAAAAATGACCTGCTTGGAACCCACACGTTTGTAGGTGTATGGTTCATGGAAATTTCTAGCATCTCTAAAAGATGTGTGTAATGAAGAGAGAAAGCTGAAAAACAGTTCTAGAGTGGGTTAAACAGGTGGGCAAAGTAAAATGTAAATCAAAACACTCATGTGTCTCGGATTTTAGTTCCCTGTAAAATGTTATTTTATGAAAAAACTGTGAAGTTGGAAATCATTCTGAGGTGCAAAGCAGGTTTTATAGACACCAATGCTCTTCTTCTTCTTTTTTTTTTTTTTTGGTCCAGTATGTTTTCCACCTAATACCAGTGGTGCTGATATGAGAGAGTCCACATGCTTCTTTCATTCCCCTGATCTAGAAGTTCGAATCTGAGTAAGGGAGAAAATGGCGATAGCCCGAAAGAAATGCTAATTAAAGCAGAGATCACTCTTTTTTAAAATTAAAAAAAATAATAATAATAACCTGTTAGTGTGTTAGTGTGCATTCATTCATTTCCACATATTGAGTGGCATGTTCTGGGCACTCTGCGAGGTTCTGGCCACCCTGGTGAGGGAGCCACATGCGCCCCTGACTCTGGAGCTCTCGCAGACTGAGCAGCTGGGGCTTCTCCCGGGGCTCTGGCTCTGTGTGAGTACCTGCTCGAGGTAAAGTCCTACACCACACGTCTGTATGCAAAGGAAACCCTCTGGAAATTTAAAAACCAAACTGCTAATAAGTAGTGCCTCTGGAAAGGAGTATGGTGGGAAGGCTCAGAAAAGGGGGAGTCTCGCTCTCAATAGACTTCTGTGTTGTTTGGATGTTCTCCACAGCAAACCTTGCTGGTGTATTACTTTTGTGGCTTTCTGTATTTTTACAAGTTGATTTTGTCTTTTAAAAAAGAATACTGCAGGGGCACCTGGGTGGCTCAGCCATTAAGCGTCTGCCTTCGACTCAGGTCATGATCCCGGGGTCCTGGGATCAAGCCCGGCATCGGGCTCCCTGCTCCGCGGGAAGCCTGCTTCTCCCTCTCCCACTCCCCCTGCTTGTGTTCCCTCTTTCGCTGTGTCTCTCTCTGTCAAATAAATAAATAAAATTTTTTTAAAAATAAAAAAGAATACTGCAAAGCTTCTAATCTGGAATTACACAAGAAGGAAGTCCCTGATTGTAAATGGGTCATCTAGCAGTTACTGGGCCCCCAAAGGCAGTGTGGTGGGAGGAAATGTCTGTGTGGCGGGAGGAAATGTCCCAGGTTAGGCTTATAACCATCTTCCATCTCCATGGTCGCCGGCAGGCAATCAGGTAGCGGAAGGCTTTGGACAAAAGAGGAGGTTCACGGTGACTGGAATTTGTTTTGAATAAGAAGGTAGGAGACACAGGACAGAGCACTGCTCCTTGAATTAAGAGCAGGAGCATAATGGAAACTTGGTATAAATCCCACAAAGGACCTTCATCAGATAAGGAAAAAGAAGGGCCTCGGGAAGTGGCATGTTGACCCCTTGACGCAGCCTCCTAAACCCTCTCTGGTGTTGCCTCCTTCTTGTGCTCACTGCCCAGGAGCGGGAGAGGATGAGGGAGAAACGGATCATGCCCTTGACCTCCTTCGAAGGTGTGAACAGCGCTCCGAACCGCAGCGTGGGTCTCGTCAAGCCTCAGTGCCTGCATGTGGAAGATACAGGTACGCCTGCAAGGTCCCTACCTCGTGAGAGAGGCTGCGGGAGAGGCCGCCATCCCTAAGAGCGCTAGCGCGTGACGCCAAGGCCCGGGGGTTTTGACTAGCCGGGACGCCGAGCCAGTCACCTCGTAAAGCGATCAAGTCTCAACAGGAGAATAATGTCAAATGAAGAGAACATTAGAGGCATTTCTGGGGTCCGCAGAGAAGGAGTAACACCTCGGTCCCGCAGACTTCCAGGATGGTGCAGCCCAGAGCCCCAGCCAGTGGCCACGGGTTCCAACCCCAGCTCTCCGCCCTGCAGCTCACTTCTGGTCGCAGTGGACCACGAAATTGGACAATCACAGGGCCTGCCTCAGCGGGCCGCTGAGAGAATGAAAATAAGTCCGCGTAAAGCCCTTAGAACACGGCACAAGGCAAGCTAGCCAAGGGCATATCGGAATCACGGTGATCGTCAGTAACTGTCTGATGGGGGCTCACGTGGGGCCTTAGGTCTCTACGAGAAATTTCTCCGCCACTAAGGCTAACTGCAAAGCTGTCTGTGTGGCTTCTGCGATGGGCCTCCTGAGACTGACGCCCATTTCCACCACATGCCAGTGGACCAATCCTGGAGGGATTCCGGCTGCCTGGAGGTGGCTTGAAAGGCTGAGCTGAGTGGGAGTGCTGGTTTCATCGCTCGGACCTGGCTCGGAGTGTTTACCACCTGAACTCTGGCTGGCCAGAGCCAAAACACGCACACGCAAATGCAAACCCTCTGCCAAGGGCCTCACAGGCCACTCTTTATAAACCCAACTGATAGAGGTGCAAATACTGGGCAGCAATTGACTTCTGCCTTTGTAAACCCTCCTCCTGGAGTCCACTTCCCGGCAAACATAGCGGGCACAGAGAAGTGTTCAGAGGTGCTCAGGAGCTGTGTCAGCCAAGGGTTGTCCCCAGAGGCCCAGGGCGATGGAAATGGCCCTGTTTAGACCGTTACAGTGTCATCCCAACAACAAAGAATTCCATCAGGCTCCCCTCAAGACCACTATTATTTATTTTACCCTGGTTACCAGAAACCGAATCTCAACAGCAAATAATCCAGTGTTATGAATGTTGTCCGCCATCCCTGCTTAAGAAACACTAAGAAACTCCATCTCTCTTTTACGGGGATTGTAAAAGACAAAACCAGATGATGGAGGGTATTGGAGAAGGGAGGTGGGGTGGCTGGGATCTCACCACAATCGGTAATAACACGAATCTTGTTCTCTCCACACCAAATTAGTAAAGTAATGAGGATAGTGAGAACTTTCTGGAAACTTCTCTCTTTAGACTCTAAAGGGAGTACAGAAAACATGAGTTTTCCTGGTGTGTTTATTGTCATAAATAAAGCCCTATAATTCCTTCTGGCCCATCCCCTGAGGGCCCTGTGTTGACGTTCAGGCAGAGATTCTGCAGGGCAGCCCCCATGCCCCACCCCCACCCCTGCAGAGGCAGGACCTGGAGTTATCCCACTGCTCATCTGTGAGGGATTTGCCCACAAGCTTGTTCGCAAAACACATTTGTTCTCTCCCTCTTGGGGTGTAAAGCGAATGTCGACATCTCCTGTGTCTCCGGAACCAGGGGCGCACTGTGCACACGCCCAGCTTCCAAGCAGGCTGGGGCTGGCAGGAGCCCCGGTGGGAAGTTGCCCCCACCCCTGCACACCGTGCCCCGGCCGGGCCGGGCAGGCTGCAGAGCGCTCCGAATGGTTTTGATTTGCAGCAGAGAGGAAACTCGAAAGCCAGACACCGAGACAGACACGGATCCGGTTGTGAGGCCGACGGGCTGTGGGCGGTGCTGGCCCCCCGCCCCTGCCTGCGTCTTTATTACCGAGCTGGGGCTGGAGGCCTGTGAGCAAGGCTGATGGCAACAGCAGATGCGCCGACCAGGCGGCCTGGGGCCAGGGAGGAGCCAAGAGGGGGGCGGGGGTTTGGAGGCAGGGGACCAGGGCGCAGGGGCCAAGCCCAGGAGGACCAGCGTCTGCAAGACAAGAGAAGAGCACCCAGGGGCGCTTTGCTTGGAGGAGGGGAGCTGGAAGCTGCGGCCGGCTGCCCGGGGACCATGCTGTGGTTTCAGACAGGCCTGGGCTTGGGGGGGAGGGGAGTCCTGAATCTGCCTCTTAGGAGGTGGATCAGCTCCCTAGTTCTTTGGAGCCTCCCTTCTCCCTGTCTGTAGAAAGAACTAAAAATGGACTGCGGGGTTGGTGTGGAGAACATAATTATTTCAAATACCCCGTACGGTCCGACACAGATTTCAACAAACAGAAACAGGTGATATGATCTGAGCCTCAGTTTTCTCACCTTTAAAATTGGAGTGGTAGTATTACCTTCCTCATAGGATTCTTCAAAAGATTAAAGGAGATCATTCATAATCTGGCACATTATAAATGCTCAGTAAATTCTAATTCCTTTCCTTTCTCCACCACCCTCGCAATCCCTCCCTTTCCTTCCCCTGGTGGCAAAGGAGGCGTTCCCCTACCTAGGCGGGAGAGGGCAGTTTCTCTGTA